CCGAGGCAGGCAGATCTTTGTGAGTTCAAGGCCAGCTTGGTCTACGTAGTGAGTTCCAGGACAGCTGGGACTACTGAGAGACCCTGTCTCAAGAACACACACACACACAAAAACTGTAGGCAACAGCATATTTTAAAATGAAATGGAGATCTTGTTTAAAGGTTAAAACCTCATTCAATTTTATGTCTTATTGGGTTTATACTGAGTTCAATATTGTATAACTATTAATTCAACTGTGAACTTAAAAATTTACAGCCATTTTTGAAAGAGATGTATCTTTGCTCTGGAAATTTTTATTGAATATGTTAAAGCTGTAATGAAATGCTTCTTCTAATCATGTGGTTATTAAATAAATAATTTTTTAAATTTTGAAAAAATGATTTAGGGGGCTAGAGAGATGGCTCAGTGGTTAAGAGCACTGGCTCCTCTTGAGGAGGACCCAGGTTCAATTCCCAGCACCCACCTAGCAGCTAACTCCAGTTCCAGGGGTTCTGACACCCTCTTCTGACCTCTTTAGGCACTGCACAACATGGGTGCACCTACCTATATGCAGGCATTGCACTTATACACATAAAATAAAAAATAATAATAAATAAAATATTTTTTTTTATCTTTTTGAGACAGGGTCTCCCTGTGGCCCCAGCTGGCCTAGAACTTGCTTTGTAGACCAGCCTGGCCTTGAGCTCAGAGATCCACCTGCCTCTGCCTCCCTAGTGCTGGGACTAAAGGTGTGCGACACCACACCCAGCCAATAAAATATTTTTCAAAAACTGATTTAGTGTGAAGGGGGCACATGTCATGGAACACACATGTGGCAGTCAGAGGTTACCTTGTGGGAGCTTGTTCTTCCATTCCACCCTGTAGGTTCCAGCGACTGAATTCAGGTCACAAGGCTTTGCAGCAAGTATTTTCACCCATCGAGCCACCTCCCCAGCCCCTTATAATTCTCTTATAATTTTTGTTTAATTGTCCTTGCAGCCTAAACAAGAATTGGGTCTAGCACAAATTTATCTTTCATTTTTGTTTACTGAAATTTTTATAAATTTATTATTTTGTGTACGGTCATATGTATCAATGTGGGCACATAAGCCTTAGCATCTGTGCGGTGGTCAAAGGACAATATTCAGGAGTTAGTTCTCTCCTTCCAGTATAGATTCTGGGGCTTGAATTCAGGTTGTCTGCCTTGTACAGCAAGTGCTTTTACCTACTAAGTTGTCTTGTTGGCCCTGTTTGTTATTTTTGAGACAGAGCCTTATATAGTTAAAGTTGGCTTTGAACTTGCTATGTAGCCAAGAGGACCTTAAATTACTTATCCTCCTGCCTCTACTATAGGCATGTGTCACCACACCCAGATCTTTATTCTTCCCTTGTGCATACATTGCCTGACACTCTGCTCAGTTCTGGAAATACAAGTAAAAGTACTTCTAACAAGTCACAAAGTGGCCAAGTACATAAGTAATTATGGGATAAGAGCTTCAAAGCTCATTTCATTGACCTCAGGGGCATAGAGGATTTTTAAAAATGAGTACTTTGGGCAATCTGATAATCAGTCTTTTTGGATGGGATGATATGACTTAGTCTGGATGGAGAATTTCAGAGACGAAGGAAAAAGACTGCAAAGACATGAAGTACTATGAGGTAGTCAATGAAATATAACAGTGGGTATGACTGGACTCTATGATGGGCATGGAATCAAGTCACTGGAGATGAGATTTGACAAATAAGATGGGTAGGCTTGTGGAAAGCTTTACAATATATATTTTACTACTGTCCTATTTATAGATGAGAAAACTGTAGAGGCTATGAGAAGTTAAATAACTCATCCATTGTAGCTCTATTAGTAATATCTATATTATGGATCCCAATAGTTATACATATGAACTGATGCTCAATGATTTTTTTCCTCCTTATTTTTACTGTTTTTCAATAAAATGAGCATACAACTCCTGTCACAAACATGCAGACCGAGTCAAAAATACACACAATATGTTTGCAAGTATATCTTCTGTAAACTCCATCCCTACCCAACACCTCTCTCTTTAACTTACCTAGGTCTACTTCATTTCACTCCAACTGTTTTAACACATAGACTTCAAATCCACTAGAGGATACTAAGAATTAAATAGTGGGACTGAAAAGAAGCAATACTTATCAAATGACAGAAAAATGTACACTATCTGATTTTTGTACCCATGAATGCACATTATAGTCCTTTCATTAATTCTAGTTGAGTCTGAATTTAGAGCCAGCAATGTTAAGTACAAATCTGAAAGGTGACCTCTGCAGTCAAGGAATAAGTGACTATTACCATTATAGGTTGCACTATTTTTCACAATTAGTTCCAAATGCTCTCTGAATTCTTCCCGAGATGGATAGAGGCGTTTGCGCACATTTTCCCTGAGTGTTTGTAGGTCCATTGGTCGAGTGATGATTTTGTAGTAGTCCTTTACAACCTTTGCATTGACTGGGGTGTGGAAAGGGTATGTCTGTGGAAATAAGGGCCAGTATCATTCATGATCAAAGAACATTTGCCAGAGCCAATTACATCTTACCTGTCTACCAGCTCTCAAAGGATTTTTCTAGATGCAGTGTCTGTTTTTTTCAATTAAACTATGTATTTATTTAAACCATACTTTATGTACAGCAATACAATTTATACATTAAATAATACTATATAGGTTTTTTTTTGTTTTTTGGTCTTTTTGAAACAGGGTTTTCCTGTAGCCCCAGCTGGGCTGAAACTTGCTATGCAAACCAGGCTGTCCTTGAACTCAGAGATCTGCCTGCCTCTGCCTCCCAAGTGCTAGGATTAAAGGCGTCTGCCACCAAGCTTGGCGATTTGGTATAGTTTTAAAACAGAACAGGAAAAAGTTTCAGGCTACAAAACATCTCTTCCACCAAAACATGTTTTTTGGTCCTTTTGAGACAGGGTCTCCCTGTAGCCCCAGCTGTCCTGGAAAGCACTATGTAAACCAGGCTGGCCTTGAACTCACAGAGGTCCACCTGCCTTTGCTGGGATTAAAGGCGTGTGCCACCACACCCGGCCAAAACGATTTTTTAATACTTTATTATTTATTTTTATGTGTATGAGTGTATTGTTTGCACATGTTTAAGTGTACCCATATCATGCAATGCCCTTGGAGGTCAGAAGAAAGCATCAAATTCCCCTGGAACTGGAGTTATGGACAGCTGCTAGCTGCATGTGGGTGCTAGGAATTGAACCCGAGTCCTCTGCAAGAGCAGTTGGTGCTCTTAGCCACTGAGCAGTCTCTCCAGCCCCCTCAAAACAAGTTTTTAAATTGCTTTTTCTAGTGGATCAGTGTAACAAATGTATTCAGTGAGCAGTCATATCTCTTTATTATATTAATGGTCAATGAAATTTTTTAAAAAGCCTGACTTTCACAATCACTGCCTCATAGAAATAGCACATATTGTACTTTTGTTTGTTTCTTTCTTTTGAGCCAGGGTCTCTCTACAACCCCAGCTGGCCTGGAACTTGCTATGTAGACCAGGTTGGCCTCAATCTCACAGAGATCAGTCTGCCTCCACTCCAGAGTGCTGGGATTGAAGGCATGTGCCATCTGGTTCTATCTTGTTCAACACACAGAAAGTTGAATTTACATATCCACCATGAAAAAAGGCTATAGTGGAGTTAAAACTAGAAAAAAAAATTGTTTTACATCCTATTTTATAACTGAGGTGATCTTTTACCTACATTCTGTCCTTCCTCATCACCTAACATTCCCGTGTCTGGATCTCCTTTCTAAATTTTATATCCTACTCACATACCTGTCTACATGTATACATTGTCTATATTACAGGCTAGTATCTGCCCATGAAGGAGACGTATTTTTTTTCCTTTTTTTTTGTCTTTTTGAGGCAGGGTCTCCCTGTAGCCCCAGCTGTCCTGGAACTCACTATGTAGACCAGGCTGGCCTTGAGCTCAGAGATCCACCTGCCTCTGCCTCCCAAGTGCTGGGACTAAAAGCATGCGCCACCATGCCCGTTTTTTTTTTTTTTTTTTTCCTTTTTTAAATAACTTTTTTATTTGTAAAAGTGTTTTGATCTCTGGTATGTTTACTGGTGTGTGTGTTGGGGGGTGCCTGCGAAGGCTAGAAGAAGATAACAGAGCCAGAGCCAGAGCCAGCGTGTGGGTGCTGGGATTTGAACCCGGGTCCTCTGGAAGAACAGCAAGTGCTTTTATCCCTTGAGCCACCTCTCCAGTCCCAAATTTTTTTTCTAAGTTTGGGTTACTTCACTTTACATTATACGTTTCAGGTCCATCTATTTCCCTACAAATTTCACGATTTTATTTTTCTTTTTTTTAAATTTATTTTTATTTTATGTGTATGAGTGTTTTGCCTGCATGTATGTAAATGTACCTGTGTATACAATGCTCACAGAAACCAGAAGAGGGTGTTGGAGCTCCTGGAATTGGCACTACAGAAAGTTATCTGCCACGTGGGTACTGGGAACCAAACCCAGATCCTCTGCAAGGGCAGCCAGTGCTGAGCCATGTCTCCAGAGCCCATTTCATTTTTCTTTGCAGCTGAATGATATGTCATCTGTTGATGGACATCCAGGCATTGTAAATAGAGCAGCAATAAACATGGATATGCAAATAATATCTCTGTGCTAAGATATGGAGTTCTTTAGGTATATACCCATGAGTAGTATAGTTGGGTCATATGGTAGTCTTTAAAAAATTTTTGAGGCATCTCCAAACTGATTTCCATAATGGCTATATTAATTTGTACTCCCACCAGTAGTGAGTAAGTGATCCTCTTTTCCCACATCCTCTCTAACATTTGTCAGATGTCTTGATGATAGCCATTCTGACTAGGGTAAGGTATTATCTCAAAGTAGGCTCTAACATCTTACTTGGCTACCAACTCTCACAGAAACTTTTCAGTTGTAATAAGTCTGACTGTTTCTTCTATCAAACTATCAAAAAACATAACATCCCAAAGAATTAGAAGTTCCAGGTACACAAGGGTATACACACTACTGCCATCTATCTGAAGTAAGAGATAAAACAAAGAACGGGTCTTGGTATTCCTATTGTACATACTAATGCAATGAACTTACATTTGGAAGATCCCTCATCTCATTGATGATAGACTCCAAGATAGATGACAGTGTCACCATAGGGTCTGTCCGGCGCCGATGGATAGACTTATGAGGTCTCTAAAGAGAAATAAGAAACCAGCATGCTTTATTTAAAACAAGATTTTCTAAATCTATGTATATATTTTAGAAATCTTTAATAAAGAGCCGGGTGTGGTGGTGCATACCTTTAGTCCCAGCATTTGGGAGGCAGAGGCAGACGGATCTCTGTGAGTTCAAGGCCAGCCTGGTCTACATAGTGAGTTCCAGGCCATCTGGGGCTACAGGGAGACCCTGTCTCAAAAAGACCAAAAAATAATTAAAAAGAAAACTTTAATAAAGCTAGACTTGGGGTTCAGGCTTATAATCTTGGCATTTTAGAAGCTGAGGTAGGAGGGCTATCACAAATTCAAGGTCAATCTAGACTACATGGCAAGTTCCACACCAGCCTGAGCTACAAAGGAAGACGCAATCTTAAAAAAAAAAAAAAAAGAGGGCAGACGAGATAGCTCAGTGGATAAAGGCACTTGCCACGAAAGTCTGGTGACCAAAGTCCTTGCCCAGAACTATGTAAAGGTGGAACTAACTTCTTAACATTGTCCTCTGACATTCACATGTACACCAAGGTACTTGGGGACACCCACCCCCACATACAAATAATAAATAAAAATTTCAAAATTTTTAAAAATGTTTTATTTATAGCCAGGCGTGGTGGCACACGCCTTTACTCTCAGCACTTGGGAGGCACAGGCAAGCAGATCTCTGTGAGTTCAAAGCCAGTCTGGTCTATATATTAAGTTCCAGGCCAGCTGGGGCTACAGGGAGACCCTGTTTCAAATATATATGTATTTTATTATTTTTATTTTATGTGTATGAGTGTATTGCCTGCATGTATGTAAGTGTTCCAGTGTCATGCAATGCTTGCAGAGGTCAGAAGAGGGCATCAGATCCCCTGAAACTGGAGTTATGGACAGTTGTTAGCTGCCATGTGGGTACAGGGATTTGAACCTGGGTCCTCTACAAGAGCAGTCAGTGCTCTTAACTGCTGAGCCATCTCTCCAACCTCAAAATTTTTTAAATCTTTTTTTTTTGTGTGTGTGGCGTTTTTGAACCAGGGTCCCTGTAGCCCCAGCTGGCCTGGAACTCGCTATGTAGAGACCAGGCTGGCCTGGAACTCATGGAGATCCACCTGCCTCTGCCTCCCAAGTGCTGGGATTAAAGGCATGCGCCACCACACCTAGCTACTTTAAAATCTTATAATGAACAGTATACATAATTCTCAGGAGATGGACAGAGGACACATTTGAGGCTGCCAGAGCCATGTCATAGAAAGCTGCGGGGGATGAGTGAGAACCCATCTGATAAGGAGGCAAGGCTGACACTCACATTCAAATAGTCACAGTGAACAGTGGTTCCAACACGGCGTTTCTTCTTGGGAGGAAGTTGCTGTTTAGGGAATTTCAAGACCAAAGACTTTCTCCGAACTTCATCCGCACTGCAATTAATTAACACTGTCACACTATGCAGCCCTTATTTCTAGTTTCCAGGAAAAAAATAACAACAACTACAAATACCTAAGCCTGAGCAGAGGAAGAAAAAAGCCAAAGGCCAGACATTTACCTTCTAAGGCTTAGACTGCACAGGCCACACAGAACCTCTAAGTTAATAAAGAGCTAGGCAAATAACAATTTTGTTTCCTATTTAGAAGTTAAGAAATCTAAGCTGAAGGAATGGTATGACTCCTTCCAGTTCTAACATTTTACATTCTATCTTAGGGTTCAAAAGCTAGAACATTTGACTCATTCAGAATATAAATGAGGAAAAAGCCAAGTGTAGTAGTACACACCAATAATTCCAGGACTTGGGATTCAGAATTCAAGACCAGCCTGAGTTACATAGCTTTTCTCAAAGAAAGGGCAAAAAAGAAAGAAATTAAAAACCGGTGTAGGAAAAAAATGGGTTTCCTTAATCTTTAAAACCCATCTATCTAGTGGGGCATGATACTGACACATCTTTAATGCAAGCACTCAGGAGGCAAAAGCAGGCAGACCTCTGTGAGATTAAGGACAACCTGGCCTATATAGGAAGACTGATAGGGCCATTTCAAAAATACAGGTGGGGATAGAGTAGGGACAGAGTAGAAAAGGTCAAGTGGTTAAGAATGCTTATTGTTCTTATAGAGGTTTGGTTCCCAGAACCCACATGGTGGTGCACAACCATCTATAATTGCAGTCCAAGGGATTAGATGCACCCTTCTGGCCTCCATGGACACAAGGCATTTTTGTGATACAGTTACATATATGAAGGCAAAGAGTCATAACATAAACTAAAAATAAATCTTTAAAAAAAAAACAAAAAAACAAGCTGGAGAGATGGCTCAGCAGTTCAGAGCACTGGCTGCTCTCGTAGAGGACCCAGGTTCAGTTTTCAGCACCCATCTAGCAGCTAACAACCATCTGTAATGCCAATTCCAGGGGATCTGATGCCCTCTTCTGGCTTCCACAGGCATTGCACACACTTAGATACATGCAAGCAAAAACACACAAATAAATTAATTAAAAAAAAAACAGGATCTGGCTTAAAGAAGTCAAACTAAGATAATCAAAGTAGTGAAAGAACATGATATCACGTGCTCCCTGATGTGATACTACGTAATATCAATTAGGTTATTATACATCTAGCTAAAAACATTTAATGAGTTTGATTAATATAAAACAATCAAATCAGGCATTCCTCCCTTGGAGTAGGTCACATTCTCAAGAGTTTTTTTTTCTCACTTTTTCTTAGTAAGTCTATATTCATTCTGCTTGAAAAAGAACCCTAATGAAACAAATCCAGAAACTGGGGTATTTTATGAGTACAAAAGGTCAATGTCACAAAAACACAAAAGGAAACACAATTCTAAATTAAGACAGACTCAAAATACAGTCATATTTGAACTGGGATGGGATCCAGAACTGGGGAAGAAGGCAATAAAGTACAATGAGAGATGGGGAAGATTTGAACAAGGCCTGTGCATTACATATTACTACATTCAATGTTGATTTTCCGAGATTCTTGGGAGATGTGTATGTTTAGAGTGAAATGTCATAATAGTCCAATTTACTTCTAAATAGTTTACATTAAAAACATTTTAGACCTGAGCATAGTATCACACACTTTTAGTCCGAGCACTAGGGAGGCAGAGACAGGCAGATCTCTGTGAGATTGAGGCCAGCCTGGTCTACATAGTGAGTTCCAAGCTAGCTGGGGCTACAGGGAGACCCTGTATCAAGAAAAGAAAACAAAACATTTCATGTATACAAAGATGAAGCAAATGTGGCAAATGTGAACTGGTGAGTTTAGAAAACTTAAGAACTATTCAATTGGTTTGTAATTTTCAAACTAAAAGACGGAGAAGTTTTTAACATCTCCATTTAAAAAACTCATTTTTATTTTGTTTATGGGCATTTGCCTGCATGTATGTACGTGGACCATGTATATGCCTAGTACCCACAGAGGCCTAAAAGGGTGTCGGATTTTGGGCAATGGACAAGTGATCTTAACCACTGAGGCATTTTTCCAGCTCTAACATCTCTATTTTTATGTATTAAATTCTCAAAAGTCAAGAAGACACGCATAAGCATAGTTTGTATATCTCTTCAGTATTTTTAAAAAACGATTTATTTAGCTGGGTGTGGTGGCACACGCCTTTAATCCCAGCACTTGGGAGGAAGAGGCAGGCAGATCTCTTGTGAGTTTGAGGCCAGTCTGGTCTACATAGCAAGTTCCAGGCCAGCTGGGGCTATAGGGAGACCCTGTTTCAAAAAGACCAAAAGACAAAAAGATTTATTTTTTATTTATGTGTATGTGTGTCTACCACATATGTAAGGGTGCCTATGGAGGCCGTAAAAAGGGTGTTGGTGACCCTGGAGCTGGAGCTACAGGGGTTATGAGCCTTCTGACATGGGTGCTGGGAACTGAATTTGGGTTCTCTGGAAGAGTAGGAAGAATTCTCAACTAAGTCATTTCTCCAGTCTTCCTTGGTCTTTTTATACATATATTTTAGGGGGTTGTTTTGTTTTTGAGGGTCTTCATTATAGCCCAGGCTGACCTCAAACTCACTATGTAGGGAAAGATCATCTTGACCCAATTCTCCTGCTTCTGCCTCCCAAGTGCTGAGATTAGGGGAATGTCCCACCATATATGGCCTCCTCGGGTCTTTTTAAATGGTCTATTATCAGAATAGTCTCAGTAGGGAGCTTGTAAATACTTTAGAAGTAGAACAGGAAGAAACAATATTGCTGGTGTGGTGGTATACACCACCTTTGATCCCAGCACTCAGGAGGCAGAGGCAGAGAGATCTCTGAGTTCAAGGCCAGTTTGGTCTGCATAAGAGAGCTACAGGACAGCCAGAGCTAAATAGTGAGACCCTGTCTCAAAAGAAAGAGAAAACTTACTGGCATTTAATATGTTGCAGGCATTGTACTAAATGCTTTAGAGTTTCTCACTCTACCTTTACCATTCTAATGCCAGGTATGGTGGTACACACTTGAGAGGTTGCTGTAGAAAGACTAAAAGTTTGAGGCTAATCTGGGCAACTTACCAAAACCCTCAAAATTTTTTTAAAGGGTTAAGGATATAGCTCAGTGGTAGAGTACTCGCCTACTATGCACAAGGCCCTGGGTTCCACTCTTAGTACCACAAAAAGGAAACAAGTAACTCTTCTAGCAAAGGTAGTTTTGTGCATAAGGAAACTAAGACTCGGAAAGGCAGCATGGACAAATAGCAAACCCTACTGAGCACTGTAATTTTCATTACTGGTAACAATTACTGATGAAGATCTGAAGTTCTGAGACCCCTAGTTCCATTTCAGAGAACATATCACATCACATTTACCCTGTCAGCCACCATAATCCCCCAACAGATTTCTCCTGCAGCACCCATGTCTGCTAGCCCTTACCTCTCAATTAGTTGTTTTCCCAAGACAATCTTGGTCCCTTCAACCTTGATAAGTTCTTCATTATCATTATGAATGACTGTCTTTTCCAGCTCCTCCTCCTGTTCCTCTGTCATGGCAACAGGGTTGGAAGGTGGAGCATTTGTTTGGTAATAAAGGGGGCAGAATTTGTTTGTCCTCATGTGCCCTATGGCACCACATGCTCCACATTTCAGCTGCAGCAGGAAAAATACCAACATGTTAGAGGTAAGCAGGTTGAAGCATGTCAAAAGTACAAAGAAACTTATAGGCAGCAGGGGAGAAACAAGGACAGACAGCATCTTACAGAAGAGAAAACAGGTTTCGAAAGGTGAAGGTCACAGCACTATTAAGTAGCAGAACCAGACCCAGATCTTCTGTATTCAAGTTCATGGTTCTTTCCACTGTACCATAGTTACCTTATCATATGGTACATGTTATATAGTAGTATGTGTAATCTTATCTAATTGATGCAAAACAACCTATAATAGTGTGTATGGTTCTTTTTTGCTTTTTGAGACAGGATCTCACTATGTAGCTCTGGCTATCCTAGAACTCACTTTGTAGACCAGGCTGGTTTCCAATTCAGAGAGATCCATCTGCCTCCCTAGTGCTTGGATTAAAGATGTCCACCACCATGTCAGGTTCTTTTAAAAAAATTATATATACATGTATGTGTCTGTGTGTGGATATGTGCAGCATCAGATCCCCTAGAGCTGGAGTGAGTGCTAGGAATCAAATTTGAATCCTTAGAAAGTAGTGTGTGCTCTTAACCACTAAGTCATTTCTACAGCCCCCGGGGATCTTCTCTTTTTAAAGAAAGATTTTTAAATTATATGTATGTATGTGTGTGTGCACATGTGAGAACAGGTGCTCACAGAGAGTTCTAAATAAGGTGTCAGATCCCCTGGAGCTGGAGTTATGAGTCAGTGTGAGCTGCCCAATGTAGGTGCTGGGAACTGTACTCAGGTCCTCTGCAAGAGCAGTATTCTCTCTTAACCACTGAACCTCCTCTCCAGCCCTGGAGGCTCTTCTTTCTTAAGACCCATTTTATTTTGTCTGTCTGAGTCTATATGTGCATGTGTGTCCACTGAGCCCCATGAGGGGGTGTTGGATCCTTTGGCGCTGGATTACAGTTGTTTGTGAGCCACCCAAGGTGGGTGCTGAGATCCAAACCCCAGGCTTCTGATAGACCATTAACCATTCTTAATTGCTAAGGCATCTCTCCAGCCCCTTATTTTACTTTTTTAAAAATATTTTATTTATCATTTTTATTTTATGTGTACGGCCTGCATGTAGGTAAGAGCACCCGTGTTGTGCAATGCCTGCGGAGGACAGAAGAGGCTGTCGGATCCCCTGGAACTGGAGTTACAGACAGTTGTTAGCTGCCATGTGGATGCTGGGATTCCAATCTGGGTCTTCTGCAAGAACAGTCAGTGTTCTTAAACCACTGAGCCATCTCTCCAGCCTCCAGCCCCTTCTTTTAATAAGTACAATTTTAAAAAAAGATCGTGGGGTTAGGGAAGTACCTCAGCAGTTGACTGCTTGCCTAACATGTATCAGGCTCTGAGTCTTATGCCCAGTAACAAAGGTATATGAATATAAATGAATGCACCAAACCTGCCTCAACTCTGAGAGGAGAAAAAAATATATATGCTTCTTTCTGAGACAGGGTCTCATGTAGTCCAGCATGGTCTCAGACTCACTATGTAGCTGAGGCTAGCCTTCCTCCTGATCCTCCTGCTTCAACTTTCCAGTGCTGAGATTACAGGTGCTGTTATAGGTGTACTATCATATAATACAGTCTTGGGCTGGAGAGATGGTTCAGCAGTTAAGAGCACTTGGTGCTCTTGTAGAGGCCCTGGGTTCAGTTCCCAGCACTCAACAGCTCACAAGCACCAACAGTGACTCCAGGTCCAGGGGATCCAAGGTTTTCTTCTGGCCTCCACAGGCTACCAGGCATGCACATGGTACACATACATACATGCAGGAACTAACGTATAAACATAAAAAAAGACACAATTTTAGCTTTCTACAATAGTGCGCTTATTTCTATTAATGGAGGATGACAAAAACTAAGGGCAAAGGTATGCTTTCTTCCTTTCCTTTGTTAGTTGTCATCATGTCATCATATATATTTTTAAATTTTATTTATTTTTATGTGTATGCATGTATAGCCTGCACGTGTATAAGTGCACCTGTGTCGTGCAATGCCCGTGGAGGACAGAAGAAGGTGTCAGATCCCCTGGAACTGGAGTTATGGACAGCTGTTAGTTACCATATGGGTGCTGGGAATCAAACCTGGATCCTCTGCAAGAGCAGTCAGCGCTCTTAACCACTGAGCCATCTCTCCAGCCCTATATATATATGGTTTTTTTTTTGATAGGGTCTCAGTATATAGTCCAGGCTGACATCAAACTCACAATCCTTCCTCAGCCTATCAAGTGCTAGAATTACAATTGTATACCATCATACTTGGTATATAAAATACTTACTTTTAGGTCAGGGCGTTCCTTCATTTTTTTGGGTTTTTTCTCAGGAGGACCCTTAAGCTTCTCCTTTTCCTGGTTCCGTTTAAGTCTCCTCAACTGTTCTTGAATTCTGCGCCGTTCTTTTCGCATCTCTTCTCGATGCTGTTCATCAAAAAGGGCAAATTTTCGACTGAACAATGGGGGAGAGGGGGAGAAATCACAGGATCATGAATACATGTAAAGCAAGACAACTGATATGAAATCTACTCAGGTTGAAATAAAAGAAACTACCTGCCTTGCTCATGTTCCTTGCTAGTCAGTCCTTCATCTGTACAGAGTAGCATCTCTCAGTCTAAGTCTTGAGTAATCCCTAAGACTTTGCTGTTGTTCTTTTGAGACAATGTCGTGCTTTATAAGCCAGGCTGGCCTGGAACCCATGATCTTCCTGCCGAATCCTCCTAAGTTCTGGTATTATAGGGTTTGTTTCCCTAAGATTTTTGCAAACCAAACTACCACAATACAAACGTAGCAAACATGGTATTTTCCCAGTGGTTTGGCTCTGTTCAAACCCAAAGATCTAAAGGCAAGAAGGTTCTCAATTATAGCAGACTTCCAGGGACAACAGAGTCCTAGTACTACAACTCAAGCATATACACTGTCTTCATCATCATCACTACTCTCCCTGCCATACTCAAACATGGCACATCACACTCACATGAATTCCTCATCTTTTGTGGTCCGTATGCGCACATAGGCATCAATAACTGCTGGTTTCCGGACTGTCTCACAGCGAACATACTCCTTTCCCTCTTCATCTCGAAATGTTCGATAAATTTTGAGACACCGGCCAGTGGCAGAGGAGTTAAGGCTAGTCACAGAAGCTGTGTCATCATCTCTGTGATTGTTTCCTGATGCTGCTGAGCCTGCTGCTGTAAGGTAGAAAAAAATTTCCAGACATTCCCCTATATGGCCACTTTCTTGGAGTTGAATGGAGACACTGAAGCTCAACATACCACACAAAGTTACTGTAAGCCACAGAAATACCCTGATTTGTCCTTTCCTGACTACTTTTTACTACTGGCAATTTTCATTTTTATAAGAACATTCTGAAAACACCTTAAAGAACTATGTTTGTTATAGGCGACAGTGAAAGATATTGATATTCCTCTGAATAGTAGGGCAACAGAAAAGTCCCAGCAGAAAGTATTGATGAAAATACCCAAGTAAACACTCCACGAGGAAAAAAGACACCACAGAAGTCAGTCCAGGGCCTTAAGACCTAGCAGATGTTTCTCAAACTTTAATACGAATAGGAATCACCTGGGGAATCTTACAAAATTAGAGTTTATAACTCAGTAGGTCTGAAAAAAGGGTCAAGATGATGTGATGCAGATGCTGTGGTCCAGGACCACACTAGTAAAGAACTGGAGGACCACGTAAGTGGAAAGGCCATATATCTTTAGAAAGTACCCATAAAAATGAAATTGCATAAAACTTTACAGAGATGGAGAAACAAAGGTAAGACCAGTATGAAGGAGAAAGGTCACTCTAATTACCCTTAGACTTTATTCTCTCAATATCTACATCCAAGTTTTCAACTGCCTGTTTGACATCTGTTATCAGAAGTGCCATGGGGACTTCATTATCCATCATCCTCATCATCAGCTTCTGGAATTTTTGGTGGATGATTTTTTAACTGTTTTTAGGGCCTAATATTCCTTTGAAAATCTTCTGAAAGCCATGACTCTTCTCAGGAAATACATATTTGCATAGAATATTACAAGTAATTTCAAAGGGTTTCAAGGACAATCTTACAAATTCATCCACAGATTCTGTATTTTATTATATATATGTATATATATAAATGATTACTTTTGTTGTTTTGTTTTGTTTTTGGCCTTTTTGAGACAGGGTCTCTCTGTGGCCCCAGCTGGCCTGGAACTCACTATGTAGACCAAGCTAACCTCAAACTCAGAGATCCACCTGCCTCTGCCTCCCAAGTGCTGGGATTAAAGTCATGGGCCACACCTGGCCTTTGTTTTGTTTTGTTTTATTTTAAGACAGGGTCTCACTATGTAGCCCAGACTGGCCTGATGTCATGATCCTCCTGCCTCAGCATCTCAAGTGCTGGGATTACAGGTAAGCACCACTACACCTAGCCAGATTCTTTCTGTATTTTTATTTTTTATTTATTTTTTGTTGTTCATTTTGAGACAGGGTATCCCTGTAGCCAACAGCTGGCCTGGAACTTGCTATGGAGACCAGGCTAGCCTCGATCTTAGAGATCCACCCACCTCTGCCTCCCAAATACTGGGATTAAAGATGTGCGCCACCACGCCCAGCATTCTTTCTTTATTTTTAAAACTGTTATTCTGGAGGATGAATGTACAGAAAGACAATTTGATTTCAGGTACAGCACTGGTAACCCTGGTTTAGTTAGATACCTGACATAGAGAGTAGCAGCAGATTGGCAGCATCTCTTCAATTTGTCCCCCACAGACTAGTGTCCAGTTGGTAGAAATCTCTCTACCTCACCTACAGGCTTCTCTATACTCATCCCCCAGTTGGTCTGTCTCCAGCTTTGACTTAGTTACAGTCTTCAGAGACTTATCTCTTTTATTGATCCTTGTCTTTCTTGTCTGTGAAGCCACAACCCTCACCCAGTAGCATCCGCTGTAGTTCCTTTCGCTCCTGTTCCTCCCGTTCACGAGACAGCTGAGAGCTGGTTTTCTTATTCTGCAACATGTTCTCAATGTTCTTTCCCATTTCTTCAAAGTCACTGTCTTCAGCTGAGCTGCTGTCTGTGTCAGTAGATAAGACTTCAGTTGATGACAAAACCCTAACAAGAAAAAAAAAAGTTAAAGGTCAGGGGAAATACAAAAGTATATGAAGATAGTATTGCAGAAAGAGTAGGAAAGTGAGAAATTAATCTTATAAAGGCATTCTCAGAAACCACAAGACATGGGACCTTTAACAGAAAAACTTTATGACATCTTCCTAGATATTTAATCAACAAGGCAAGTTCGCAAAATTGCAGTAATTCTTTCTGAATTTCTGGAGCTTCAGCTGGCCTGGAACACTACGTAGACCAGACTAGCCTCAATCTCAAAGAAATCTGCCTGCTTCTGCCTCCTAAGTGCTGGGACTAAAGGCATGCACCACCACGCCAGGCTTGGATCATTTTAAATAGCACATTCTTGCACATCTGTGTCCTTAGGGAAAAAGGCATCCATTACCACTATTAAAACCGCCAAACCCAGCTCAAGTAGGCCACAAGGGCTGCTACAAAACTGAGAAACCAAGCTTAGCATCTCTTGACAGTAAAAGCCTTTGCTAAATTACTTTGAAACAGATCTTGTGGTACATGTCTATAATCCCAGCACTGAGGAGATCAAGGCAGGAGAACTGCCAAGAGTTTGAGACCAAGGGCTGGAGGGATAGCTCAGCAGTTAAGAGCACTGGCTGCTCATGCAGGGGCCCAAGTTTGGTTCCCAGCACCCAAATGGCTCACAACCCCCAGTTCCAAAGGATCTGATTCTCTCTCCTGGCCTCCTTGAGCACTTGAACACAGGTGCACTTACAGGCAGGCAAAATACTCATAAAATCAAAATAAATTAATACAAAAATGTTTTAAAAAAAAGGAATTTGAGACCAATATGGGCTGCATGACAAGACTCTGCCTCAAAAATTTTTTCAAAAAGGAGCAGGTACTTTAGGAATATTATGACAGTGCCTGGTACCTCAGAGACCCAGACACCTGACCATATTTTCTGGGTGACATGCTCTTCATTATACAGTATCTGGCTGGGCATGGTGGAGCACCCCTGTAACGCAGCACTGAGGAGACAGACACATGAGGATCACAAGTTCAAGGCCAACTGGTTCTACATAGGCGTTCTAGATCAGCAGGGCTATAGAGTAAGACCCTGTCTCAAAAAAATAAACAGTATCTGGAGGCTGCAGACAGAGCTCAGTGATAGAGCACTTTCCTTATAGGTACAAGGTCATTAGTTCAAAACAAAACAAAAAGTGCCTGAGACACTTCCCCTTTCCAGTTTAAACTCTGAAGCACTGAAACAACATACTTGTTCTGTAGGTCAAAGATGCGTTGACATTCCTCTTTGTAACGCTCTTGATGCTCAGCTACAGAAAACCTTGATCCACGGGCAAATTTACTCATGGGCCCCTCTCCAGAACGGGCCTGTTCTGTTGACATTGTGCGTACCACATCAATAACTTCCCAACGGGACAACTTTTTAATCTGTAAGACAAGAATCATTCAGGCATTTAAAAGGTCAGGCATGGCCTACCCTCAGGCCTCTCTTGGGGTAAGTCTATCGTGGAGCCCTCCGCGCCTTGACTCCCCCAGCCTCATTCACCCTTCCACCTCCCCCGCTGTTCTCTACTCCTAGTTTGGGCCCTGCGCCATTCCTAGTCTTGGGTCCCCAGACACCTGGGGAACCAATACTGCTTCCTGATCCTTTTCACCCAGACCAACTTAGTGCCTTCCTTGGGCTCCAAGAGCACTGCTTCTGCACCTGGCCCCGCCCTCACCTCTCTCTGCTTCCCTGGACCTGCGCCTCATTCACCCTTCCATCTCCCCCACTGTTCTCTACTCCTAGTTTGGGCACTGCGCCATTCCTAGTTTTGGGTCTCCAGACACCTTGGGAAATAATATTGCTTCCTGATCCTTTTCACCCAGACCAACTTAGTGCCTTCCTTGGGCTCCAGGAGCACTGCTTCTGGACCTGGCCCCACCCTCACCTCTCTCTGCTTCCCTGGACCTGCACCACCAGCTAACTCTCCTAACCTGCTCTCCTATCCTCAGGCCTCTTGGGCTAAGTCTATCGCGCAGTCCTCTACGACTTGACTCCCCCAGCCTCATTTACCCTTCCATCTCCCCCGCTGTTCTCTACTCCTAGTTTGGGCCCTATGCCATTCCTAGTCTTGGGGCCCTAGACACCTGGGGAACAAAAACTGCTTCCTGATCCTTTTCACCGAGACCAATTTAGTGCCTTCCTTGGGCTCCAAGAGCACTGCTTCTGGACCTGGCCCCGCCCTCACCTCTCTCTGCTACCCTAGACCTGCACCACCAGCTAACTCTCCTAGCCTGCTCTCCTACCCTCAAGCCTCTCTTGGGGTAAGTCTATAGTGCAGCCCTCCACACTTTGACTCCCCAAGCCACATTTACCCTTCCATCTCCCCCACTGTTCTCTACTCCTAGTTTGGGCCCTGTGCCATTCCTAGTCTTGGGGCCCCAGACACCTGGGGAACCAATACTGCTTCCTGATCATTCTCACCCAGACCAACTCAGTCCCTTTCTTGGGCTCCAGGAGCAACGCTTCTGGTCCTGGCCCTGCCCTTACCTCTCTCTGCTTCCCTGGACCTGCACCACCGGCTAACTCTCCTAGCCTGCTCTCCTACCCTCAAGCCTCTCTTGGGGTAAGTCTATTGCGGAGCCCTCCGCGCCTTGACTCCCCCAGCCTCATTGACCCTTCCATCCCCCCCGCTGTTCTCTACTCCTAGTTTGGGCCCTGCGACATTCCTAGTCTTGGGTCTCCAGACACCTGGGGAACCAATACTGCTTCCTGATCTTTTTCACCCAGAAGAACTTAGTGCCTTCCTTGGGCCCCAGGAGCACTACTTCTGGACCTGGCCCTAAGAACTTAGTCTTCCTTGGGCCCCAGGAGCACTACTTCTGGACCTGGCCCTGCCCTCACCTCCCTCTACTTCCCTGGTCCTGCAACACCTCTGAGCCTCCTTCTGGGGCTGACAGCCTCTTTCTGGGGCTCTGAGGCTTACCTTTTCTCTCCCTGATCCTTCGCATCCAGTACAACCAAGCTACTCAATCCACTCCCTGGGAAATCTTGGGGCTTCTTCCCTCCCCATCTGCCTTT